TGGTATTGTTTTCATGACCTGGACACCGAGACCTGGCAGCTTTTAGCTGTGAAAGGAGCCATGTCCCACTGATGCTTGCTGACCTATGCTGAGTACCCGGGCAAGTGAACTGGGACTCCACACCAGGACAATGCCTCAAATCCTCGGGAACCCCTAACCCCTCACTGGGAGTTCTAGCTCTCACTGGTCGGCTACCCTAGCTTCCGCTCTCCTCGCTTTAAACACTGAGTGAGCAATAAATTGAAAAGGGCGTAACAAGGATCAGGAAAACCTAGAAGGCAAACAGTGAACTTCTGCCTGAAAGTTCTAGATCCAGCACTGTGAGCCTCCAGCGAAAAGGTCATAGCTGGGAATGTAGCATAGCCGCCCATTGTCTTTCAAGCCACTCGAGTTGACTCACATTCCAGCACAGTAGTTAATCCTTGGTGGAATCTCAATAGGGACAAACACTTGTCCTGAGCTCAGGTTTGCCTATGGGGCATTTGTTGTTTTGTTTTGTTTTGCTTTGTTTTGCTTTGTTTTGTTTTGTTTTGTTTTGTTTTGTTTTGTTTTGTTTTGTGGGGCACGGGTAGGGAGTGGGGGCAGAGGAAGGGCTGGGTGCCTGAGGGGAGAGGCTCCTGCCTACCTACCCCCCACCTCCCCTGACCCTATAGTCTGTTGGAGATCTAGGAGGGGTCAAACTAGGAATCCTTTCTGTGCAGTGCCTGAAAGCCTGCTAGTCTCCCAAGACACCTCTCCTTTAAGTTCCCTCCTGGGGGAGGAGGTGATCTCCCACCCACCTATGCCACTGTGCTGGCAACACCTAGAGGGGGGGCGTTGGTATGTTGCCTAGTTCTCCAGTGTTCCACATGTCAGAAACCTAACAGAGAGGCAGCAGTAGTTTGTTTCTGTGGTTCAAAATTGAGTTCCAGTCCTAACTAACTCTGCTGTGTTTTCCTAAAACAAGTGATGTTATCTCTCTAAGCCTTGGTTTCCCCAATGTGGATGGTCAGTGAGGTGTTAGTGAGATAAAGATAAAGGGAGTGAGATAAAAAGGTAAAGGGCTTGGCAGAACTCCTGAGGCTCAATAATGCCACATAAATAAATGCTGGTACCACTAATAGTCATCTCAATATACCTGCTTTGCCCACTGGATTGTAAACTAGGGAGAAAAGGAACCACCAGCACCTGGCACAGTGCCTGGTGTGGTGGCTGAGAGGACAGTGACTGAGTAAATTCAGGTAGGGGAGTGGAGTAGAGTTAGGTAGGGACCAGTAAATAATCAAAAATCTGAGACAGTCTGAGCTGCAGGCAAAAAGAGGGGTGAGGATGCCACTGGGGGCTGCCAGAGCACAGAGACAGACCACTCTCGCGCAGACTCTTCCTGCAATCTCAGGTCCCTGGGCCCGACTCACAGCCAAAGAGATTTCTGGAGGTTCTGTCCCATGGGTCCGTTTTCATTTTGTCTTCTCACCGAGTCTATGGGGGCGGGGGTTGAGGGGTGGGGCAGAGATGGGACCCTAAATTGTAGACCCTGGAGTCAGAGATCCGGCCTGCCTGAGGGCCAAATGGTGTGGGAGGAGCTGACCACATCCCGGGTCTCTAGAGGCCGCGTTAGGGGTGAGCGGGTATAAACCTTGCCCGAAAGGATCGAGCCAATGAAGAAGGGAGCATGGTCAGGCTGGTCTGGAAAAGGTGGAGACTAAAACACGGGGACTAACACACGAGACACTAAAGCCTCTCGGGCCAGTGGCCCAGAAACCCGTGTTCCGAGCCCTTAGACGAGAGAGTGCCGAGGAGGATACTGGGCGGTCCTGAGGCCGCGCGGGTAAGCCCTGCCAGAGCAGGAGCCTGTTCCCGCTGCGGCGAAAGGTACCGGCGGCCTCCCGGCGCTTCCCGGCCATGGGGGCCCACGCTCCCGCACCAGGGCACTCCCGACCGGCTTTCTGGCTGGTGCAGCACAATGCTCCATAAGAGGCAATGCGCTTGGCGCCAGGATGCTCGGCAATCTTGACCTTGGCCAGCAGTGAGGCAGGAGGCTGAAAGCAAGCCAGGGATCGCCAACCTGTTTCTCAAGAGCGCTCGCTGTCTGCCGGAGACCCGCAGCAGGTCAACCGAGCACCCTGCGGACTGCACCGTGGCAAGAGAGAAAGGCAGCCTGGCAAACCCGGAGGGGTTCCTACCGCAGGGAAGTCGTTTCTGTCCCACAGTCTCAGAGTCAGTCTCTGCTATGGGAATGATTCCGTCCCTGCCTGGCAAGGGTTTATAGTGACTCTCACATGAGAGGACACAGTGAGGCTCTGTGACCAGATAGGATGCCTGAAGGACATCCCGGTGGACACCGGATCCAAGGCAGAGATGTCCCAGCAATGGGGGTGGAACGTACAAGACCTGAATGGAGACACTGAGTTCCCCCTTCACCTCCCATCCTTCCCCAGGTCCCTGAAGAGTGAAAAAATCCCAGGGGAGAGAAAAAAACAGAAATCTGAGGATAGTTCCTGAGACTGAAAAGGAAGTTCTAGCCCTCCAAACTCTGTCTGAGCTCTTCTCACCGCTCTCACATCACTGTGGAGAGGAAGCATACTACCTTGTTGGGACTGTGGATGAAAGTGTCAATTCAGTTCTCTACTGTCTTCCTGACTTTAAGTCAAAATGAGGGTATCATTTGGATATTGTGATGGAATAATCCGATAATTTGGACCAACTGAGATTGTGTGGAGATTCCGAATTCAGATCTCAAATCTTTATTTGATTCTCCTAATGCAGTTTTCCTCGCTCTCTCTCTTGCTCATGGCTTGCTAAGTCTTTACACACACACACACATAGACTTGTTTTCCAGTTAAAGGAGAACTCAAGTCATATTTCCTTTCAGGAGGATGCTATTTTTCAGATGTCAGCTGACCTGGGCTTTAGGCTATTAATAGAGGTTCTCACCGGTAATAAAATACAACAGACTTGCCACGATGAAAAAGTCTGGAAGACATGCTTAGGGGTGGGAACAAAAGAGCAGAGAGAAGACAAGATTATGGCAATTAGATCTTTCATATTTCATTTTCAGGGGAGGAAAAGTGTCTATATTGGGTCAAAACAGCTATCACTGTGGTGACAGAAAGATTTGGAATTTATTGTCGAGACACCAAAAGGCAGTCTTGATTTAATATCAAGAGGTTATTTTTTAAAGATTTATTTATTTATGCATACAAGAGTTGGGGTACAGTCCAGAGATGTGGGGGGTCAGAGGATTCACCAGAGACAGAGCAGGGAACAGAACAGGCAGACTGATTGAGACACACTGCTGAGAGGAGCAGCTGAGGGGAGCAGTGGGTGAGGCAGGAGAGCTCTGCCTCACCATGTGGGTTGCTCTCTGGCTGGCTGGGACTGGGATCAAACTGGTGCTGCAGAGGTTGCAGGTTGCCTCATAGGGCGGTGTGTAACCCCTTGGGCCACCAGGGAGGCCCTCAAGAGGTTATTTTTGTAACTGGAGCCCACAAAGTAGTAGGCAAAGCACAGGAAAGACATAATGCAGTCCCAGAGGCTCACCTCCCAAAGCCTTTCTAACAAACTCACCTTTCTCCATCCAAGGGCCTTCCTTAACCTAAAGGAAGGAATTTAATGATGATTACCTTCCTCATTATTCCGCAGAGGGTGAGCTGTGTGGATGCTGGAGTTTTAATTACACACTTGCTTTTTCTGGGGAAGAGGACCAAAGATCATATTTTTCAAAGTATCAACTTGTTTTCTATTAGGCAGTTGTTGTAACAAGTTCTTTCAGCGACATGTTATGTCTTTAGGAAGGGATGTTTCAGATGGCACGCACTAGCACAATTTTGTGGCTTTTAATTACTATTTTGTTCTTTTAGGGGGGTTCAGAGGCTGGCGCCTCTGGCGTATTTAGACTGTCTACCCGGCCCGCCGCAACCTCGTACACTTCCACCAGGTGGCACCACAAGGCAGGCCCTGCCGCAGAAACAGCCAACTTGAGTGGAGTTAAGACGAGGGTCCCCCCCAACTCCCGCCCCTGTTTCCCAACTACCAGCAAATAGAAATAAAGTGACTTAAAGCCACTTGCGCTTTAAAAGAAGAAGAAAGTGCAGTGATATGGCCGAACAGGATACTAAATGGCAAAACTGTAAAATGGAGTTAAGTGCACGAAAGAAAACTATTTGTTTCTGAAAGTTTAGCAAATTTGGTGAACCTGAGTATTGTCCCAACTCCTTGTTCAAGTCCTCGAATTTAGAGTTAAAATGAACTTCGAAGGTTATCCAATCAGTCTGGTCTAGCTTTCCTGCTACAGAAGAAATCCCTGGAATCACTTTTCGGGTGTCAGTTAGCCATCAAACATACATAATTACTCAGAGTCTTGGCGTGTCAAGAAAACGTATTATTATCAATAATACCCGTGAGTTTATATAGCTTTTCAAGTAACAAGGGAAATCGTTTAAATATTATCCAGCTAATTGTACTAATATCCCTGTGGGTTGGTTAAGAAGCAAGTATTATTATACGTGGTTTATGGATAATTTAAATCAATTGACCATGCCTAGTGCCGGCTGGCTGGCGAAAGAAAGTGCCAGAAGCTTCGAAGAAAAGCAGAGTTAGACCTGGCCTGACTCTTGGTACCGCTTTATTTTGATGAATGTTCCAAAGCTGACCTCAGAGATGAAGGTACGAATCACTGGAACCGGTTGGCACTTGTGCACAGAATAAAACGGGACACCCTATTTCTTCTCCTCGGAAGCCAAGTACCAGTCTCAGTCCTCAAGCCTTCAGTACCCTCGTCGCCGACCCCCCGGACTCCCCACTCTCACCCAGGCCGCCCCTCTGTCCCTGGCCTCGCGCTCTCTTGCAGCAGCGCGTGTCCGCACCCGCCGCCGCCAGCCCCGCCACCCCGCGGGGCGGCCGGGGGTTCCGGGGCGCTACTAGCCGGGTGGCCCGGCCCGTGCGATTGGCTGTTGCTAGGTGACGTGGCCTGCGCTCACGTGACGCGAGTTAAATACCCACCCGGCGGGAGCCCGCCCAGCAGACAATCGTAAAGCCGCTCGGGGCCGCTCACCTGCTCCCGCCTCCCGGCGCCCCGGCCCGGCCCGGCCCCGCCACCCCTGGCCCCGCCACCGCGCGCCCCCGCCCGCGCCCGCGCCCGCGCCGGCGAGCAGCCGAGCAGGCGGAGAGGCGGAGAGAGGATGCGGCCGGCCGCGGCGGTCCCGAGCGGTGCACGGTGATCGCCTCCCCCGGAGGAGGAGTTGCCTAGACCGTTGCCACATTTCTTGTTTTCCTCCCCCGCCCCCCGTAATTACATTGGCTGCTGGAGGGCACTGGGAGAGACGGAGGAGGCGCCTCGCTTCCCCCTCGCGCCCGCCACCCCGGCTCTTTCCCGTCCCGGGCCAGGATGACTGGAGTCTTTGACAGTCTGGTGGCTGATATGCACTCGACCCAGATCACGGCCTCCAGCACTTACCACCAGCACCAGCAGCCCCCGAGCGGCGGCGGCGCTGGCTCCGGGGGCAGCAGCGGCAGCAGCCTCCACAAGCCCCAGGAATCGCCCACCCTCCCGGTGTCCACAGCGACCGACAGCAGCTACTACACCAACCAGCAGCACCCGGCGGGCGGCGGCGGCGGTGGGGGCTCGCCCTACGCGCACATGGGTTCCTACCAGTACCACGCCGGCGGCCTCAACAACGTCCCCTATTCTGCCAAGAGCGGCTACGACCTGGGCTACACGGCCGCCTACACCTCCTACGCGCCCTACGGAACCAGTGCGTCCCCGGCCAACAACGAACCTGGTATGCACAACGCTGGCGTCCTGCGTGCCAAGTCGGTCGAGTTACCACGATGGGTGGGATAAAAATGTTTGGGGCGGAGACCTGTTCCGAGTCCTGGCCTTCTGCTGCCTACTCCCCGCCCGCCCCGCGCCCTTCGCCCCGCTCAACCCTCCAATCTGCGGAGGGCCATCGGGGACTGCCCAGGTGCTCAGCGGGCGGACGGGGTGGTCTCCGGGATCGAGCGGGCTCAAGGTGCAGGCCTCATGGTAACCCCATTTCTTTGGCACCTGCTCGCCCTTCTCTCCGGTAGGCGCCTTTCTTCCCCTTACCTGGAGGGTCCCGCGCCGGAGTTCGGGGCCGCGCGGGTCGGTGCGCGCGAAGATGCGCCTGAGCGCTGCGCAGTCTCCAGGAACCCGCCTCCGGGTTCAGGCCAAGCCCCTCACCCGGCCCTCCCGGCGGCTGGCGGGAGCTCTTGGGCACCCCAGGTTGCGCGATGCTCACGATTCCGTTTCATTGCAGAGAAAGAGGACCTGGAGCCTGAAATCCGGATAGTGAACGGAAAGCCAAAGAAAGTCCGCAAACCCCGCACCATCTACTCCAGTTTTCAGCTGGCGGCTCTTCAGCGGCGTTTCCAAAAGACTCAGTATTTGGCACTGCCCGAAAGAGCCGAGTTGGCGGCTTCGCTGGGCCTCACCCAGACTCAGGTGAGGGCCCAGCGGTCTGGGTGGCAGGGGAGACGGAGTGGGGTGCTGGCTTGGAAGCAGGCGGGTTCAGGACAGTATGCTTAAAGTATTTCGGAGGTAACTTTAAGGAGAGGTTCGTGCCTTGGGCGGCCTAAATACCTAGGCCTGAAGCTGAAGTGCTCCAGGAACTGACGCTCTGTGAGGGAAGGAAAGAACCGGGGTGGGCAGAAATCGGTACCACGTTGTCTTTGCGCGCGCTTCTGATTAAGCGGGTAAAATGGCTGGCCCGCCGGACCCCCTCTCACTGTCACCAGCAGCCTCGGGCTTTTTGAGCTTACTTCCCCGCGGAGCGGGAACCCTCGGCGCCTCTGCGGCCCGGCACGTGACCGGCTTTCCAGCCCCGGGTGCTCGGAGCCCGCCTCTCGCCTGCGGCCCGTCTGCGCCCGCGCCGCGGTCCCTCCGCTAACGCTTAGGTTCTTTTCCACAAAGGTCAAAATCTGGTTCCAGAACCGCCGCTCCAAGTTCAAGAAGATGTGGAAAAGCGGTGAGATCCCCTCGGAGCAGCACCCCGGGGCCAGCGCCTCGCCACCCTGCGCGTCGCCGCCGGTCTCGGCGCCGGCTTCCTGGGACTTCGGCGCGCCCGCGCGCATGGGGGGCGGCGGCCCGGGCAGCGGCGGCAGCGGCGCGGGCAGCTCGGGCTCCAGCCCCAGCAGCGCGGCCTCGGCTTTCCTGGGCAACTACCCCTGGTACCACCAGGCCTCCGGCTCCGCCTCGCACCTGCAGGCCGCCGCGCCGCTGCTGCACCCCACGCAGACCCCGCAGCCGCACCACCACCACCACCACCACCACGGCGGCGGGGGAGCCCCGGTGAGCGCGGGGACGATTTTCTAACCCCGGGGAGCCGGCGCCAGAGACTGAGCGAGCAGAGACCAGTTCTGGTCCGCGCAGGCCCCCAGAGCCAGAGGGTCCCTCCGGCCCGGCGGCTGACGCCCCCCACCCCGCCCGGAGGTGGCGGCCACCACGCGCGCCCCGGGCCCGGCCCCCTCCGCGCCCACCGAGCGGCTGGGAACCCGGAGCGTCTTCTGGCTCCACGGGCACCTCTCCGAGGAGGCTTCTTGCCGCAGGCCACCCTCCGAGGCCGCGTTTCCGACCTGAGCCCCGGCCTCTCGCGCTCCGAGCGAGTTGCTCAGACTTGCCTCCCCGCCCCGCCCCGCCCTCCCGCCTGGCGAGGCCGTCCGGCGCCTTCCTAGCCCGGGGCCGCTAGCCCAGACCCGGGGAAGAACGCCTCCCCCGCCCGCCGGGCCTCCCGGGCTCTCAGAGGCTCCTTTCTCCTCGCCCGCCCCCAGGCCCCGCTCCAGTCCGCTAGGGTTCCTGACCTCGGGTCCAGGCTGCCCGCCCTCCCCGCGCGCCCCCGTGACCCGGGCGGCCCGCCGCTTTTTTTCTGCCCTGCTGTCTCCAGCCCCCCGGCGCCCCCTCCCGCCCCCTCCCTCGTCTCCCCCAGGAACGCTCCCTTAGCGCTCTGCTCATCCATCACCAGTGGAGTTTTTTTATTTTTATTTTTTTAAAAGTTTAGGTGCCTTTGCGGATGACCTCATTTTGATGTTGGGAAAAATGATTTTTTAATATGTGGACACTGCAAAAAATGTGTTTAAATTATCTTTTTTAAAACCTATTCAGGATTATTAGCCTGGACTTCGACATAGAGTTTGTAAATAAAGGTGTCTGTGCAGATTTTCCCACTGATTTATTTGTATAAAATACTCATCTTTTCAGACATTTTTGTAAACCCCCACTTGTGAAAACTGCGGTTTTGCAGTGACCTCAGCAACCCCTCCGTTTTATTTTTCCTTTGAAAAATTTTCTCAGTTAAACTAAGCTACTGATTTGGATTTGTTTTATCTTATCCTAAAGTCTTTGTTCCTGAAAGGTATTTTGGGGTTATTTATTATGAAAACAACATGCTCTTAATGTTGATTTTACAATATGAAGAGATTATTTAAATAAATTATTGTTTTCATTGGATGTGTGCGCTTTCTCCTTGGTGTCTCGCCCGGGAAGCTGGAGCCGCTGCCCAGGCGGGGAACCTGGTTAGCCGAGAGGGACTTTTGCGTCTTTCAGAGGCAGCGAGGCCAGTGAGGTGAAGCAGGCAAGCGCGGGCTCACTCCTCGCCGGGCCTCTGCGGAGGATTCACGCTCTGCCCACACCCTAGTCCCTCGTGGGTTTCGCCAGCTCGCTGAGCTGTGACTCACTCAACGCCCGGCGGCTGCAGCCTCCGCCAGCCCGACCCCTCCGGCGCCGGCGCCAGGGCCCCGCGCCTAGGCTGTCTCTGCCGCCCCCGCTCCCTCGCGGCCGGTCAGGCAGTGCGTCTATGCCGCCGCCGCGGACCGGCTGCAGTTTGGGTCCGAGCGCTGCCTCAGCCCCGGGTCAGACCCCTGCATTGGACCTTCCCCTCTGTTTGCCCCGCAGCCCTTGGGGGCTGGCTGAGCCAAGAACTCTGTGAGTCACCCGGTACCCTCGGGAGATATGGTTGGTTCCTCAGGAATGCAGAGCGACCCTGGCACACAGGGATGCCACAAGGCTAGCATATACACAACCACACACTGTGACTCTCACAGTCACATCTATACTATCACACACAGTCACACACTCATGCTTCCAAACATTCACACAGTGATATGCATTCTAACAATCATACACTTACATTGCGTTACTCTTAACACTTGCACATAAAACAAATCCATGCACCCTCACTATTCATACACACTGATATGCAAACTCACATGCATTCATGCACACTTACACACGCACACCTAGATTGATGCCCATTGCTGCCAGAGCTATAGATAGCCTTTCGCCTCATATTCTCCAAGCGCAAAGGTCCACATTTAGCTCTACTTTCCACCTTGGGTCTCATCCAACTGGCTGTTAGGTTTGGAAATGACCCTACTTTCTGGCATTCCATGGAAAGGCCACCAGTAAGTGGTTAATCCAGGCCTGAACTAAAATTTCCCTTGCTTTGAAAGCACTGGGACCTATAGTTGGGAGTTTTCTGGCCTCAATCACTGGCTGTGTGACTTTGGGCTCTCCACTTAACCTCTCTGTGCTGTTTTCAGATCTATAAGACAAGAGAAATAACAGCTATCTCAGACTTGTTGTGAGTTGTTTAATGAGGCACTGATGTAACACTGTGCCTGGGACATGGCAGACATTAAATTTTTGCTATTAGTAGTGTATTGTTGTATCCCCCCCAAAAGGAAGGTGTTGCTTTTGCCTGCTATTACAAGGTCCAAAGTTACCCAAAGTCCTTTCCAACTTCACCTTGTAAGGAAAAGCAGCATTCCTGGGTTGGGAGAGCTCCTATTTGGGAGAAATATCTCAGCCATTCCTTCTGGAGAGGTCGTTGGAGCAAACCAGAGTCCTGATTGCCAAATCCAGGCCTCTTTTCCTGTTAGATGGTTATTGAAGCCATCCTTGCTGTGTGTCTTTAACTCACTTCTGCAGGGGGAAAAAACGGACAAGAGGTGGAGGTGACTTTCTAGGCTCAGTGGCATCAGCCTGAGAATTCTGACTTTCCTGAGAAGATTGTTTTGGAGGCTGCTCCAGGTCTGGTTTACAACAGAGCATGGTCCAGGGTGTTGGGTGTCCCGGGGAATGCACACAGTCTACACAATCCAGTGTCCATTTACATTTATGCCTTGTCCCTATCTGGAGAGGCCTGGGTTGGCGCTATCCAATCCTTTGACACCCACAATCCTGTTGGCCCTAAGCAGCCACTGTTTAGCAGACCCCCAATTCTTCCCCCCACTTCCAAATTCCGTGGTTTTCTCCGAGTGCCAGTAGCTGGTGCCAGTCTTCCATCTGCGGTTGACTGTCCGCCCCTCCTTTGCGCGCATTCCCCTCCCCCTCCTGAAACCAGCGAGGAGAGACGGGGCAGTAAATTGGCTGGTGTCGAGGATCTGCAGCAGACAAGATGATTAAGAGGCCTACGCCGGAGCGCCCGGGGCAGGGAATGTCAGCCCAAGTTGAAATCACGCAACAGGCCTTGGCATGAGCAAGCATGGGAGCCGGGAGGGAGGGCGGGCGGCCCCAGCTCCGGGGTGGGCCTCAGCCCCACAGACTCTCCGGAGTCACCGAACCTGGCACCCGGCGGCGGCTGGGTCGGGCCGGCCACGGCGCGTCTTTGCCTGGGAAGCCGGCGAAGCAGAGGGCAGGAGGGTACATGGGCCAGAGGAAGGGGGCGTTTCCGCAGAGGAGTAGGGCACAGAGAAGGGAAAGGGAGGGTTCGCCCGGGTCCTCGAAGTGAGGGGGCGGGGAGGCGGAGGGGTGAGCAAGGGAAAAAACAAAGCTGGGCTGCAGGGGGCGGGGGCCGACTCCAGCCCCGCCGCGGGCGACGAGCTGGCAAGCCTTTCTCACAGCCTCGCGGCCCTCCCGGAGCTGCGGAACCCTGTGATCCACCCGCCCCTGCGCAGACGGTCTCCCCCCCGCATCCAACTGCTCTCCCCTAGGCGCGCATGAAAAATGGAAATGGGAAACAGCGATCTCGGTTTTCTACACTGGGAAACCAGTCGCGCTCGGAACACACATAAATCTTCATTGTAATCCCCTTCCATTAGCTCTCGTGAAATATCAGGCCAGAGACAGGGTTTGACAAACGCTGGGATGCAGGAGGGGGGCAGCCGAGGAGTGAGAGGCGCTCGGCCTTCTCGGCTCCTAGCGCTAGCGGTGATGATGCTCGGAACTCAAGCAGGGCGCAGGCAAAAAGTTCCAACGCCAGATACTGGCAACCCCTGCACTCCCGCGCCCCCTGCTTCCAGCTCTCCCTCCCCCGCACCTGCCCCCCTTGCGCGCGGGGGGCAGCAGGCCGCCCCGCCCCCGGGACCCCGCGAGGCGTGGACTCACACGGACACCCCCAGTGCGCTGCCCCGAATTCCCGCAGCCCACTCCGCGGCCTGGGCGGGCGGACAAGAAAGGGAAGGCATCCCCTGCCTAATCAGCGCCGCAGCAATGTGGGACCGTTTAGGAGGTTTCCCCTTGGCCTTCTTTCAGGATTACTTCGGAAAATTGTGAATATCCGTCCTGTGGAAGGATTTCCGAGACTGGTGGGGCGAGTTTGGGGGAAGTATCAAGTTTGATGGCGACTGCGAGAGCGCGGGAAGACTGAAGCTTTGTTTACAAACAGTTTATGGGGAAGAAGGGTAAAGAGGAACGCAGCCTTGATCGAATAATCCCCGTGACAAGACTTCGCCAAGGAGAACGAAGTTGGTAAACAGAAAGTCCCCTTGCCTTTCAGAACTAGTCGTCCCCACGGATAATAAAACCCAGGAGCAATTCTTCCGCTCCGAACCTCGCCCCTCCCCATCGCGGTCCCAAGCACTCGCTCAAAAGTCACCAACCCGCTTCTTTTCCTCCAAGGAACAGCGACCACCAGCGGTTTAGACCTATTTAGGGTCAGACCTCTTTGAGAATGAGGCTACAGAGTCATTCTTCCCCCTGAAATCTAGGTCCTTTTGCATTCTGCATTGGGGTCCCGGGTCCTAGAGGCCAGTGGATGAAGCGCCAGCCAAGCGTCAGGAATTGCGCGCGCCGGAGACTGTCGGGTTAGAGTCTCCGGGGACTGGCTGGGTCTCACAGGGTCGTGACTCCCAAAACAGCCTCAGAGACATCTCCCCCCACCCGGTCCTTCCTCCCTACCTGGGCTCTGCCCCCGCGAACCTCAGCCGCTGCCCCGCCCTCTCCTCCCCAAACACTCCAGCTCCAGCGGAGGCCGAGGCCCCACTGCTCTCCAAGGCCCCCCGGGCGGGAGTTCCCCTTGCGGGGACGGTTTTGGCAGTGATTGCCACATTACAAGATGTTACATTCCGCCCCGGGGCCTGGGGCCTGGCGGGGCGGGGGAGACAGTGTGCTTCACGGAAAGAAAGAGCGAGCAGGTCTCGGAGCAGCAGCCACTTGGCGCCTCCACGTGAGAACTCCAGCACAGTCTCCAGAGAGACCTTTCTTCTCCCTGTGGCCTCCTGCTCCGGCTGCTGCTCGCCCTCCAGTACCCGCCCCACAGCAAACA